CGACGATCCGGTTCGTACCGCCCAGCAGCCCTCGCCCCCCCGAGGAAAAGTCTCCAGCATCGTTCACATCTGCAACCTGGTGAGAGAAATGTTCTGCCTCTACACTTACAGCAAGGATGGCAGACTCGATTATTCCTCTGACAGATGCTCAGGATGGTCTCAGAAACTGAAACGCACACATCAGATGGCTGATCACTTTATTTAGGTTCATAACCGGTTTGTTTGATCTCCAAAACACAATAAACTCCAGAGCTAACACTCACAGATGTGAATTAATAGTCTTCCTCCTTTTCTGTTTTAGTTTGATTGAATCAGTCAGTCGTAACTAAATGTTTGTAGTTTGGTTTTTTTTACATGTGAGTGTAAAACCTTATAAAGCGTATCTTTGTTCAGGTGAGACCGTTCACACTCGGACAGCTGAAGGAGCTTCTGGGCAGAACTGGAACTCTACTGAACGACGGTTTCTGGATTGACAAAATCAAGTCCCACTGCTACGTTACGGTGAGTTTTTACAGATGGTTTATTTTTTCTTTAGAGGCTGAGGAACCGGACTGATTAGCTGTCCTTTCATCTTTTCTTGTTAGTACTCGAGTTCAGAGGAGGCAGTGGCTACTCGGGCGGCTCTTCATGGTGTTAAATGGCCGCAGAGCAATCCTAAAGTCCTTAGAGTAGACTTCTGCGAGCAGGACGAGGTGAGAACCAGCTTGCCTATTTTGTTTTTGGCTTCAGTCTTTAGCCATCGGTTGCTATGGAGACTGTATTTGTTTTGTAGTTGGACTTCCACAAAGGTTTGGGTGCAGCAGAGCGGCCCGGAGGAGAAGTAGGACCTGCCACCGGGCGCAGCTGGACATCCGGCCTGCCCTCTCTTCTCCCCGAACAAAACCAGTGGGTCGAACGCGAACGGGAGATGGAACGTAGAGAGCGGGCCCGAGCAGAGCGGGAGTGGGATCGGGACAAGGTGAAAGAGTTCGGGAAGCCCGGAGAGGAGAAAGGTCCTCGAAGGTCACGCTCCAGGGAGAGGAGGCGTAAGGAGAGAGGGAAGAGCAAGGAAAAGAAGATGGAAAAGAAGAGTAGGAACCTGGTGCTGGATGTACAAACGGTTTGCTCTGTGATGCTGTTTTTAATGATCATTTCATTTTGTCTTTAAAACCAGGCGAGGAACCTCCATTAAAGCTCATCGATGACTTGTTCCTTAAAACTAAAGCAGCTCCTTGTATTTACTGGCTTCCGCTTACGGAGGAGCAGGTGAGACCGCGTGACTGTTGACTGCTCAGAGTTAGCACCACCGCACAGAAGCTTCACTCAGGCCTGTGACTCCTTCATGTTTCAGCATCTTCAGCGCGAAGCGGGCCGGGCAGAACGGAGGAAGGAGCGCGAGAAGCAGCGGAAACAGCTAGAAGAGGAGGAGGAAAAGCAAAGAGAAGAGAAGCGGAAGGAGAGGATGAAAGCTGCTGAGGGCGCCACAACGGGAGATCGGAGCGAGGGTGAGAAGGACAAGGACAGGGACAAAGGTAGAGACAGAGTACGGGAAAGGGAGAGAGACCGGGAGAGGGAGAACGACAAACGCAGGGACGGCTACCGTAGACCAGGAGGCAGCTCGGCTCGCCGCTCACGCAGCCGGAGCGAACCGAGAGAAAGGAGGCGCTGAAGGCCCGTGGAACTGTCCTGGAGACCACCTTCTCTCATTTGCCTTCACTACATGTACTTTGTTAAATCAGAGACCCAACAGAGGACCAATCGATGTCGTTTCCATCTAAAAAAACAAAATCACTTCTTTTTTAGACGCATCTTCCAGCTCCAGTCATGCTTCAGAAGACCATGATCTTTGCATTGTTGTTTTTCCAAAGTCTTTCGTCTCGTCCACTTTTGTTTTTCCCATCATTTGCCAATCGTTTGTTCCATTTCTGTCCCAAACTCATAGCAGTATGATGCACTGGGTGACTTCAGATGACCCCAAAGCCTCTGGTTCTTCAGAACGTGGGTGCAGATTACGGGAGGTTGAGTCTTTGGGGTAAAAACTCTGCCGGTCGGTGAGGTTTGCTTTTGTTGCTGCATGTGGTTTGAAGCTAGCCCCACCAGCCCTGAGCAGAGGCTCGCAGATGGCAGAAGATATTGGAATAGTTTGGCGTTTTGTACAGATCTATAAGAATATTCAAAGTAAGTCTTTAAAAAAAAGTAAGGCAGCTCTAGGGTGTTTTTCACTTGGCGTGTAAAAACTACTAAGGCGATGCAGTGTTCCTCTTTCTCTGTTAAGAGATGAATAATTCTCTGTGGAAGAGAAGACGTCACCATTATGATTATCTCCCATCCTCTGTTGCCCCTTCAGTTCCCTGAGAGGGCGGGTTGCTTTATGTGTCCTCCCATCAATTGTTTTAATATTGTTTTTTTAATCGTTATTTTATCATTTTAGTACAAAATTTCTTTTTTTGTTTTGTTTTTAATGTCTTTGAGTACGCCCATCAGTGGTGAATGTACAAATAATAAAAATTGAAGTTTGAAATGGTTTTGAATTTTTTTTCTGTTCTCCCAGAGGACGTTTAATATTTTGTTGCCACCTTTCTGGATTAAAAGCAACATGACAGAAAGTAGACATCACCTTGGAGGGTATGCTTCACCCCCACCAGGGGTCAGTCATGCTGCATGAGTTCACCCATGACTCAACAGTCCGTCTGGTAAAAAAAAAAAAAAAAAAACACATCCAAGTATTTAAGCACTTTGCACCTTTTATCAGTCTGATGAACAGCTAAAGACTTCAGTTTTGTTTTCTCAGCTGAAAGTAGGAATTTCTACTGATTTTACTGCATTTTCTCTGCCCAAGTTTTCCAGGTCCATCTCTCTGGTCCTAACTTTTATCCTGCACAGCTCAGCAATGCTGCTATGTAATTACAGCCTTCTGGTCGCTGAGTTTTACATTTTTCTGCCTTGATGCAACTCGATGTCTGGCCTCTGCAAGGACTTTTCACGCTGTCACATTTTAAAGGGAGCCTATAAGTGGAATGACTCATGTTGAACTTGAAACAAAAATCTTGGTGAAGACGTTCAGTTTTGGTTTAAATGTGAACTATTTTATTTAGTTGCTCCTCATCTCACCCATACACTAACTGAAAAGCTTAGAGTGTTGCTACGTATTCTCTTTGGTACCAGAGTTTAACTTGCATGCAATCTAAATGATGGAGGTGCAGCCAGTTTAGTCGAATCTTGAAAACAATTTGCACAATCTCGTGAAATAGTACAAGAAGGCCAAGGCACTTTGTGGCTAACAACCTAACTACAATTTAGATATGAACTATTTTCATGGGGCTAATATTAGCAATGGTGGCTATCTTCAACTGCATTAAAGAGATACTTTTCAACTTTTTCATATTTTTAAATCATTTTCTTGAGCCAGTATGTGCTAAAATGACCTTTTACATAGTTGATGAAAGGTCATCCAGCCCCTATTCCTCCCTGTGACCAGAATACCGCATTTGCAACTGCAGAGTGCCAGTCTGGTCTATTGGACTTTGAAAAAATTGAGCTGGCAAACCTGGCGCTACAGTCTGGTTCCAGCACATTTCCTGCATGTTTTAGATCATTAACAGCTGATTTGTTTAATTTAGTAATGAACTGCTCCTGTAGACACTAATGAAGGCGGAGGAGACATTTCAGCTGTTAGATTAAGGTAGTAAAATAACAAATGCACAGCGAGGATCTAGGCTTTGCTTTTGGTTCTACAAACAGACATAGGGGCTGCTAAAAGCAAGCCAAAACTGCCTAGTTCCCCTTTAACGCTAAATGAGCATCTAATGAAGATTACATTAAAAGTTGTCATTTTATTAAACCAGGGGTAAGCTTTAAAGTCTGCCTCTTGCAACAGTGCACGAGAGAAGGAAGGTGCTAAATGATACTGGGAATGCAGGACCAAAGGAAGGCCTATGGAGAATGAGAAATCAGTTTTATTCCTGGAGTTTATTGGAGAAACCAAATAATCTTGATGTTTCAGTGGAGCTACCCAGGTTCTGTGGCCTGTCTCCCTTTATGTGGAACCTCACATTTCAGTCGCAGGTTACTCAAACTGGTGTTTCTTTAGGTTTGGGTTTCTAGCACAAGCAGCTGTTGGAGCAGACGACCACCTGTGTTTGGTGGAGGATTTGTCTTGATCTTAGCAGCCAGTCAGCTGAGCTCGACCCCTCTTGTCACGGTGAGTGGGCAGTAAAAACAAAACCATTTTGCTCCGTCAGCAGACCCCTTCCCTCTTCTCAGTATAACCACATAGGTCTGTGTGTTGGAGGCTCATTTCAAAGAAAACCTCAGATGTGGCCTTTCTGGTCTCTGTGTGTCTCTCAGAGTTATTTTAATGGGAGGTTTTCTACTCTGTCCAAAATGACTTTGTATTTATTAATCAGTGATGAGAATTGGCTTGTGTCATGCAAACATAAATAAGAATTCCCATGATGTACACACACACACACACACATCCTCCCTCTTTTCTGTGATGACCTGCATGGGTTAATGGAAACCAGATGTGGTCTTTGCATTTGTTGGCGACAGCAGCACGAGCATAAAATGTGTGTTAGAGATTTGACAGGCTTCAGGATGTGTGAGATGGAAGAACGAGGAGTTTTATGGTTGTTTTCCTCCTCAGATGCGGTTTCAAGTGTTCACAGAGTGATTGCTTGCTTGTTTAAATGTCAGAGCAAAGTGGGGAGGGGTTTCTGGTGCATGGTGTTGGGACAAAGCCAGGACATTCTCAGCTTGTAGAGCCCAAATCGAAACGTCTTTTCCTCAAGGTCTTTGTTTTTCTCTACAGGTATCAGGTGAGACACAGCTGTAGAGAGACGTAACGTGTTGCACCTGTACACGTTACCTCCATGTGAAAACGTTCACTCCAGCTGCAGACATGCCCAGGTCCAAAAGCAGACATTGTGATATGCAACAAAAACAGGCGTGTGGCTTTAAACTCATATCTTCCAGCTGACCTAGAGAGGGTAAAACTGCATCGCTAAGAAAAACAAAGATCACAAGCCAAACAGCTGAGGTTGGTACACAGCATGTGGAAGACAAAAATATGTTCAGATAATGAGATACACACACACACACACACACTCTCACACACACACACACTCTCACACACACACACACACACACACACACACACACACACACACACACACACTCTCACACACACACACACACACACACACACACACACACACACACACACACACACACTCTCTCTCTCTCTCTCACACACACACACACACACACACACACACTCTCTCTCTCTCACACACACACACACACACACACACACACACACACACACACACACACACACACACACTACCACGTGTTCCTAAATGGGAAAAAAAACATCAGCTGTTAGTCCTTCCTTCAGAGCACAAACTGTGAAGACAACAGATCAGAATGTTGAGTCTTTAAACTTTTTTCAATTTGTGCTCAAGAAAATATTGAAAGGGTCTTCAAATCATTAGTGAGCACTAATAAGTTGCCCTAGCCTTGTCACAAGGTTTCAGCGTGTCATGGCAGGAGCAGCTGAGGTTTATTGACTTAATAAAAACAAGAAGTGTGTTTACTTTACAGAAACGCATCGGGCCCTTCAGGATGATGCTGTTGTTCAGGACTCTCCTCATGCTACCAGTAGTGACACTGACTCTAGTCAAATACAAAGAGCAAAATCATTCCTGTTTTTGGGATCTTCTCATTGCTGCCCTTTACCCCCAGACTTCCAACTAAACCAAAAGAACTTTAGTACATTAAAACAAGATGAGATGCCTTATTTCAACAACTTATTTATTAAGCTTCAGCTAGAGAAAAAAGTAGATGTTTCATATTTATTTACATAAATTAAATTATTATTATCTTTATCTCAGTAAAACTCTGTCAACTTATTCACAAACAAACAGCCTCAGCCTAGAGATCACAGATTGTACGGTTGTGTAATTTGCTAACATAGAAAAGTAATCATTTAAAAGGGCCTTAAAATGAAGCAAGGATAGATATCCAGACACTCAAACTTTTTGATTTATCCTGCTTTTACCTTCAGTTTGAGTGTTTGGTTTGAGAGAGGGGACTGTTCTGTTTGTTATATTAGTAGTGCTGCAGGATGTGACCCAGGTCTAACTAATGCAAAACCACACGTGTCCTTCAGATGCACCTTTCCATTATGTCACATCCTTGTTAGCATGAGAGGCTCGACGGTGACCCTTTTTCTGTGACGGCTCTTACAAGACACAAAGAGCAGGACTTCCCCTGTTTCTGTTCTCCGGCCTGCGGGACGTTTTCAGCTGGAAGAGGCACAGGAAGCATGAAACTCAGGGAAGTGCTTGGTAAAGATCCCTAGTGAGATTAAACCGAATTTCAAGAAGAAAATAATCCACTGAGATTTATTGCCTGATGTAAGAAAGATTTGTGTTATGGTTCTGAAAGATGGAAAAGGAATAAAAGGAAATGTGTGTGGGAATGGGTGGATGACTGATTGTGTTGTGAAGTGCCTTGGGGGGTTGTAGAACCCTAAGAAGGTGCCATACCAGTACATACCATTTATCATAATCCAGAAATCAGGAGACCCCCCCAAGCAGGCCCGTCGTTCCATTGCTGACTTGCCCTGATGGGCGGCGTGGTGGTGTTGAAGTACCGTACAACAAAGGGACGTTGGGACAATGACGTGGTCGCAGTACAGCAGGACCCCATCTTGCGCATACACTGACTCACAGACCTTAGACAGGTCGGCCAGTGCCGGGTCCTTTGGGTCAGTGCTGCCCCCATCTTCAATGAGGTGCAGGAGGTGGGAAAGACATGTGTCCGCGGCCGTCTCCTGAGCGAGGAGTGGCCATGCAATGGCAGCAGACTCCAGTGCATCGCTGCAAATGGATGCCATATGCACCGACTACTCGCTATCGGTCACGTTCCATGCGCCCATGCAGTGGCCCTCATCAGAGCCAGAGGGCGAGGGATACCTGGAGGCTGCGTCGGCAGCGCAGTTGCTCTTGCCAGGCAAGTGTACAATATCAAAGCGCCATGGGAGTGTGCGCTGTTTGAGCCCTGAACAGGAGAGAGTTAGTAATCTCATCCAATGTCCGGTCCCCAAGGATCTTCACCAGGGGCTTATGGTCGGTGACCATGACCAGGTTGTCGCACCCCTGCGTGAAGTAACTGGTCTGCTCCAGACCCCATGCTACAGCCAAGGCCTCCCCCTCAATAGCGGCGTATTGCTGCTCAACGGAGGAGAGAAAGTATGAGCCGGCCAGAGTAATTTTCCATCCATCCGGACAGCAGCCGGGGACACCAGAGTTGCAGGTGCAATGCTGCTGGAGGAGGAAGTATCCAATGCCGCGCCTGGACCAGTCTGGGCGGAGGCAAGTGTGCCTCTCCATGTCATAATGGCACCATTTAAGCCCTTTCTGAGCCCTCAATGCAAATTTGTGTGGTCACCCAAGTTAGAGGCAACATTTCAGGCATCCAAGCTGGCCATCATGAACTCTATCCGGGCAGGCGTAG